CTCGACATCCAGTTTTCAACCAAGACAACGTGTGTCAAAACTAGAGGAGAGGTTATTGAGAAAAGACAGGATTAGGAAGGACAAACACAATATTGGTAATGCTTATTCATATCTATCAATTATATGTACTGTTGATTATTTTTAAAAAAAGTTTATTTAAGATGGATGATCGTATTTTTATAGGAAATCTCCCCGATATTCAGCTTCCTCTTCAAATATCGCTGCTATGTGGCTGAAAATCTGCCGAATTGGAGTTAAACAATAATTAATTAATCCTATCCTGGTTTAGTTTTTGCATGAATTAACAATGTTGATTAATGAAAGGGTAACGTCTAACATTGTTTAGTATTTTTATTAGTCGAACGCAGACGACGATTCCATATAAACGATAGAATTAAGGAACTTGCTTCACTCTTGCCGAAATATGGGTAAGTATGTTTTATGTTTTTTTTAAATATATAGTTTGTATCATTTGAAAATAATGCAAATGTAGTAGATGAACAGCACCGGTACCAAGCAAAAAAAGTGAAAAGAGGAACAATCATCGGAATAATTTAGGATATTACACCGCTAGAATCAGATGAAATATGAAGATAACGAACAGTATTCAATCGTTTTCAAAACAAAATGTAAAAACACAAGACCTCTCATGTATTTTAAAATATATGCATGATATTACATGTAGTATCATGTGAATATGTTTTTCTTTCAAATAAACTTAAGAAATCAAAACAGAAACAGAAGAAAATATCCCTCTAAAAATAGCAAACAAAGATATGGAGAAATTGGGGGGAAAATATCCATCTAGTAATAGCAAAGAAATATATGCAGTTTGTTTGGCATAAACATGCTAAATAGTATAACGAAAAAGAGGTAATTTCAGCTTCAAAATTGAAGCTCAAAGTAAACTGAAAAATTGTTAATATAATTGGAATAAATTGATATTTCTAGAATTCTTTTTCAGTGTATCCACTTTACGATTTATAGAATATTTGCAGTGATTTCTTGTTTGCTTTTTCGAACTACTCAAACTAATTAGGTGGTATGGCTCTTTGATACGCTGATAAGAGAGATAACTATAAATGGAATAAAGGTGTATTATTCTTTTTTATAAATTTGCGAAGCTTAAATATCTGTTTTGTTCAATTTTGAACCGAAAGCTTTGTCCAAATTGTCTACAATTCACTCACAAATACATTTCTTTTTAAAAACCATTAGCATTAAAGCAAAATTTTATACGAGTGAATAGAAGGACTATGAACATATAATCAGATGCGAGTCGCGTATTTCAAAACAAAGCCTAAAATCTAAAGGTTCCCTGTTACCTTAACACCAAGTATGACATGTGAAATATAACCTCCTAATAGTGCTTATTTTCATCATTATTTCGGGTATGGCAAAGAATGTATGCTGATTTCAGAGGATAACATAAAATGGTACTCTAGTATTCAAACACGTTATCAAAAACGGGCTTAAATATTTTATGACAAATAGAAGAAATAAAAATTAATGCCTTATTGTCGAGGCAATTATTGAGATAAAAGTCGAACAAAAATCATTGAAAGAAATTCCTACCTTTTATTCTTCAACTGGCATTGCAACAATTGCAGTTAAGACCTATTTGCCTGTGAATATTGTTTTCCTAAACGTCTTTGAATTACAATTATCGTCTATTGGCTCTTTAAAAATAATTTTAAATTATTTCAAGTTTATGTCTTAATGAAAGCCAAAATAAAGTGTACAATTATATTTTTTTGTTTTTAGTCTTAAGGCATTAGATAAAGGATCAACTCTCAAAGCAACTGTGGAATATATAAAGGAAATGAAAAGGGAGAAGGAGACGCTTGAAGCAAATACCAGAAAATTAGAATCTAAATACAAAAATGTGTTGATGAAAATGTTGACAAGAATATGTGTAAGTACACTTTATTTATGTCTTTCAATAATGACAGGAATGACTAATTTATTAACACGCATAGCAGTGGTGAGCATTTGGCAAACAGAGGGTAAAACTGTTTTACATTTTAGACATCTGATTAACTCTTAATTATTATAATCTATCATATCAAGTAATATTTCTATATTTTCTGTTTTTATCTTAGCAATTAGAAGTCAAAATGAAATGGAACGAAATAAAAGAAGAAGCTGGTTGTATGAAATCAAAGAAGAAGAAACTAGATAAAAGAAACTCATGTGCTTTTGAATCCATGGTAAAAGATATGACAAGAAACAACATTTTATCCAAATCAGATGAACAGTCTGCCACTGCTACAAATAAGTCAAAGCCTATCTTCAATGCACCACAAAAAATTAGCATCTCAACCATTTCTGACACATCTGTCTTTCAAGGCCTGTACAAGGATGGAACGAGTGATAACCTAGAAAACAGGGAAAGTATCCAAATATCAGGGAATGATGTTCTATCAAGTCTGCCAGGGAATTTTGAGAACTGTGAATGTGCATGCAAAATTGACTTTTTGCAGCATTGTTCAAAATCTTCGAAAGACACTGGTAATAAGAAAACGTACAGCAAAATCAACAAATATGCGGATACTTCAACCAGTAAAGTCAAAGACCATGATTTTCATGTCGATGATTATTTACGTTTAAAGAAATTTGATAACTCGAAAGTTTCATTCAAAAGAAACGTACATGTAACTTTGAATGAAAGTGAGGCAGACACTTGTCTAACTACTTCTAAATTCACACCTTCTAAACAAAAAGATAAGAAAACACCAGATGGTCATCCATATGTGACCAGTAATGTCCTTGAAACTTTATTACGAAGGCCAAACGGAGTCATATCGTCTTCCGAGCTATATTCTTAGTAGACTGGATAAAAAAGCATAGAATTAAAATAATGTTAAGAAGAAACAGTGTAGATTATTTTCTTTGAGCTTTGAATTTTAAATTATTCTACTGAAGAACTTCAGAAAAAATAAAAAATATTAGTTAATTGGTAATATTAAAAAAAAACAATAAACAAATTCATACCCATGAAAGTGCATGAAATGATGTCGGCGATATCTACTGTCTAGATGATTGATTTACACAAAATGTATTAAGTATTTTTAAAATCGTCTTCTTCATAATAATTGTAATTATGCATCTGAGTAAAGGCAATATTTATAAAATTACACAAGAGTTTGTGAGGCAAAATGAAATTAAATGTTACCAACAGAAAAAGTAAATATTGTTTAAGCATATATTTGACTGCCCACTCCTTACAGACAAATATTACGTCAATCTATGATGTCACATGGACATGAAAGCATACAGAAAGTGAGAGTTGAAAATAGATGAATTTCCCGTAAAGGAAAAAAAAATCACGTTTTACATATCAGGTAACTTGAAATAATATAGATATTTTTTAGTGTCTCACATTTCTTTCTTATGAAAGAAAAAACAATGGTATAGACCATTTAACTGCACATCTGCAGTTTCTGTATATTGGACATATCTTTGCAATAAAATGAACAAAAATATAATTTGATTAAATATATTGTATGTGCAAACAACCTCTTAACACATAGTTGATTCATTCTTTTAATTGCAATGAAATTAATCAAGCATCAGGATAAATATGTGAGAATGGTGATCATAATTTAGCAATAATTTGCTTAAGGAACATAAACTACTGTATGTGTACTTAAAAAAGCAAACTTCATATTTTAGCGGCTTTGGCGCTGACAAAGATGCGGCAATTCATGAATTCATGTACTTTTATAAGCATATTATGACAATCATATGATAGTTATATGGCATATGGCAGTTGATAAATGAAGTCATATGGCAGTTGATAAATGAAATGTGAAGATAAATGAACAGTCATCATTCACAAAAGTCCATTTAAACAGAACAAAATAATTCAGACCTCTGAAAAACACATGTGAGATCAGGTGCCATGGAGGATTAAGCATCCCTTGTCGACCGGTCACACCCTCCGTGTGCCTCTTGTCTTACTCGGGTGAACGTAAAAATTCGTAGACAATTCATTGGGGAAAAAATTACCTAGCAACTGGTATGAAAGACGTCAGTCAACAAACAACTTGACGACATATTATATTTGCAAACAAGATTCGACCAAAGATTTTGCAAAAAGTATTATTCAAACGAGATTATTCAAATCCTTGCATAATCAGCTTATTTCTCAACAGCCTGCCTCGTTTAAGAAATTGTAGAACATGGTCTTGTGCATTGAATCATCTAGAAGACATAATTTCCATATCCAGTGATAATGATATGCTGCTACATAAATAACATAAAGAAAGAGAAATTGAGGATAGAAAAGTTGAAGTCATCATGTTTTTCAGAAGGTTAAATTGTTTAGTTGTCAGTTTGCCATCAAAGTCATTCTCTACTAAAACATCCAAATACGAAACAAAGACTCTAATTTGTCCTTTTTTCCGATTTCAATGGGATACGTTGAATCAGCGTAGGATTGAAATTTAAAAAAAAAAGTACTGACATTCTCTATATTTCAGAAAGAATTTATTTACATTTAACAAAATAGGATTAAGAAACTTCCACAGAATAAAATCTCAAAAGAAGAAGCTGTCTAAATACATGTAGTGATCTTCTGAATCTACTAAACGATTTGAAACATTTTCGAATCTAATTTGATAACCAAAATATGATGAGAAGAAACAACATGCTGCATAAACCAACGAAAGTAACACATTAATATTATATACATATTAATTAAAACTTATTTTTGGTTGCATTTGCGAATCCGATTACAAATACATGTATCTTGCTTTCAAGTGTTTTGTGGAAAGAGGAAATTCTGATATTAGTTTTATTGTTTTATCTACCTTTGTGAATTCATTTATATGCAGTAAAGCTTTCTAATCCGGACACAAATGGTTCCGTTAATATTTGACAGATGACGGCAATATTTAAATCAATTGGATTTACTGAAAGAGACTAAATTTTTTCATTCTAGCAGGCGTGAATTCAGAATATGCGGATTAAATTAAAGTTTTTACTTTAGTTCGTCTTCAAACACTACGCTCACAGATAAAAGGATACTCCGACTGACAGTTGCCGTCATTCAGTTTATAATCCTCAGCTTTACACAGATTCAAACAATGTTCATCGTTAAGATAATTATCAGGCTGATTGGAAGACCAGTGAATGAGATTAACGCGCTGACAGGTTGACCACCAGATCATATTTCCTTCTTCAAAAGCGTCAGTACCACCGATGTGAACATAGTCTGAAACACAGTATGAACAAGAAATTTTGGATGAGGTTTTTTTTTATTTATTTATTTATTTTTACCACACAGACCTTCAATATATTTCACAAGTTACATTTTTTGGTCTCTGTTCACTTTAATTTCTCATTCAAAATATACTAATACTGTTGCTAAGATTTCTTTTACATTGTATTAAAGCTGTAGTGCATTTCAAAATAACGAGAATGAGTTTCGTCATTTTACTAAATGGTTTTAAATGATTATGAATTCATTAATACCTGTATCCATTTCATCTGCAATGCTCTTAACAAAATAATATTCTTCTACAGTTTCAATCTCAGTCAGCTTTGAACCATTATTCAAACAGTCTATCTTTAAATGAAAAGAACAAATTAGAGCATCAAAAGTATATATTATCTTTGAATGACTTAAAGTATGTAAAGATTTTTAACTCCATAGAACATTATTAGACATTTTTCTTGTCTCTGTGATAGTATGTTTTTTGTGTTGATTTTTTTTATTAGGAAAGGTTATCCCCATTTACATGTATAGGTCTCCTAAACACATGGTTAATTTTTTGTTACCTGTGCATTGATCCATGTTTTCCTTGTGTAATCAAGAAAGTACTGGGACATCCCATATATTCTCCATTTAGAGGAACCTAATATAAACAAAACTACATTTTATAGTGAAAACGTACATAAAATAACTCACTTAAAATTTAGCGAAAGCAATAGTGTAATTATAAATTAGCGTATTTTGAGCTATGATTCTGGTTTGTTTGTTTGTTTGTTTGTTTTTGTCTTTTTTTTTTTTTTTTTTTTTTTTTTTTTTTTTTTTTTTGATTTAATCATTTACTGTTATGTATTTAAATTAGCGGACAAAAAAGAGGCGTTAGATCAAGTACGTGAACTATATAATATTTTGAAATATTTTATAGCGGAAAGGTCGACGGTCATGCCTTACTCTGAATATTGCTTCTCAGGAAAAGTTCATGCACATATTTACCACATACTGTGAAATCAATTTTATAGGGCCCATTTTTTTGTTTTGAGAGACACAAGTTCATTTTCCCCACGAAATTTTAAACAACCAAACTATAATATTCTTTTAATACTGTGAAATCACTACTTTTCGCATGTGTTAGGGAGGGGTAATTTTCCTTATTTTCGAAGTATGAAGAGACCCCCGAATTCATATATACCATGACATGTAAAATTACATATTCATAACTGCTCAACAATTCCCCAACCACGAAATCAAATTCCCCCAAACCAACCCTTTTTCTTCAAACCTCGAGAATTAGACACCACGGAAATATGTTATTTCACAGTATTTTATTTTTTACCTACTAAGACATCAAATTCTCTGGAATTAATTTTTTCCATCAACAAAGAAAATCTTACTCAACAAACATATATTATTTTATAGTATTGTCTAAAGACGAAAATGAAAGAAAAATGTTTAAAAGCTAGGGAATCTGATCCATAATAACATCAGATTCAATAAAATTAAATGCATAACAGATATGTATGGACTAAATACTCTTTGAATTTAGGATATAATATTCATGTTTTAGTATCAATATGTAAGAGCGGAAAGTTATTTTATGACCTTGACCTGTCCTTAAAGAGCTATCATCATTTGCTTTTAATCAATCAAAATCAATTTTTAAAAAAAATTCCTCTTAAAAATAGATTCAATCGTTTTCTATCCTTGATACATATTTCCACCACAGCATTTGCTGACATTCGTATTATTTAAACTCTTATTTTCAAAAAATTTGTTTTGTCCTCAAACAATCTTCACTAAGTCTTGTTGTTTACTGCTGATGTAATTACATTTCTTTAATTTTGGTAAATCCTTTTCTATTCTAAAAGGCTTATAACTAATATCAGTGTATTTTATACACAATTGATATTTCAAGTTAAAAAATGCTGTCCTAATAGGGGGTCGGATACCTTAATGATCACCATGAGGACGAGTCACCCGCGTGGCGCTTTGGTTATAGAGTGTTTGCTATAGAGTCGCGGAGTAAGGAGTTGATTCTTACGTCGCGGGTTTGAATCCCACTGTGGGACGTAGAGACCGGTCTTTCCGATGAGACCGTATAAACCAAGGTCCCATGTCGCAGTAGGTGCTGGCACGAAAAAGATCCCTCACTGTTCGATGGACCTGAGTGCCGAGTATAGGTCAAAATTTGTAGCCCTCCACCTGCAAGTGGTGGCGTCTCCATATGAGTGAAAAATTCTCGTGAGGGACGTTAAACAACAAACAAACAAAAATCATGAGGACTATGATGTTTATTTTTATCATGCTATTCTATAAGATGAGCTAACAATTCTACCTAATTAAAACGTTTTGAGAAATTCACGGATTGTTAGTTCACCTGATAATAAATCAGGGAAAAATAAATTTTCAGAAGAATCACAAATACCATAAAAAAGGGACATTGATAAAACTAGAAATGCAAATCCATATTTTTTTACAATAACTCTGTAAGGAATTGTATATTTTGAAATAAGCTTCGTTGACTGTTCAACTTAGAAATGCTTCCTCCTAATGTTAATATTAAAAATCTCTATTATTATGACGCTGTCTTCATATTGACGATAATGCAATGATAACATTATTTAGCTATGATTCAAATTGTGTTACATAAAAATAAATATTTATCTTAGTTTTGAATGGTTTTAAAATCTTCCTGCATATCATACCTTACCAGTAATGTATTTAAAATGATATTTGATACATCTTTATGCCCTCTTCACACGGAGAGTTTAATTCGCAGTAAATTAATGCGAAGTAAATTGATGCGAATTAAACTAACGCGAATTAAATTGCGTTCACACGACAGCTAATGCGAAGTACACTAATGCGAATTAAAATTTTATTTCTTCTATATGGCTATTTAGTAAGGCTATTATGACGTCATTTGCAAATCACGTCACATTGTGCAGAGCAGGCCCCAGGATCATGAAACAAACTTAGACTTAAGTCAAAATTTCAATCACCTGTAAAATGTTTACTAATTATTGAATTTATCTCTAAATTTGCAGACAACACCACTTTTGTAGAGCAATATTGAAAAATATTTTAATTTTGTTCTGATTGACTTTTACAAAAACTAAAAAGAACATAAAGATTTTGACTTAAGCTTAAGATATTTCATGATCCCGGGGCCAGCTATACATTTGACAAAATTCCATAGTGTCTGTACAGTTTTTAGTGATGAACATAGTTTTCCTTTGTTTTCCACTCAAATATAGCACAAATACCTATATTTGACCACCGACATGTGGCATGTGACTTAATTCTGCCCTTACGCATGCGTAAAAATTTAATTAAGCGTTCACACGGAGCTAATGCGAAGTAATTCAATGCGCATTAAATTAATTCGAATTCAACTAATTCGCATTAAATGCTTCGTGTGAACGAGGATCAAATTTAATTCGCAGTAACTTACGTTTAATTCAAATTAAACTCTCCGTGTGAACAGGGCATTAGCATAAAACGTATATAAAGTAAACTTACGTGATGCTGTTGATGTCATATGTATAAATCCCAGTGAAGAAATCATTTCTGTGATCTTTACGGATTTCGAAACAATACATATTTTCGTCAATTCATTGAAGAAAACGTCCGTACAATCTAGTTTACAATTGGAGATGCAAGATGATATACTTCGTATTCCTTCTATCTCATCCCCAATATTGTCAATTGGACGTTTGTTATCATTATCTGGCACACGAAGAAAAACGGATAATTGTTTGAAGCTTCCAGACACATGAAAACAGAGACCAAGAGTTACAGCGATGAAAAAATAACGTAATTTCATTTTCATTTATTTATTTGAAATGCAATATAAGATCAATGTGTTAACACTAGTCATTTTTGACGAATTTCTCTTTAAAATGAAAAACAACCTCTGCGTTGGACGTTGATGCTTTTATAGACCCAATAACCGATGTTTTCTACATCCGCAAGGAAAAAAGTTCTAATGAACTTTACACTAGGAGTGTTTTTATATATATATATATATATATCACTTAAAAAAAAAGAAAAATGTGATACAGATTTATGAGTTCTTATATGAAAGCTACTGCAATACGAAAGTAAAGGAAAATTTATATGTTTATTGACAACTAAATCTTTGTCAAAATATTGGATATAATGATATAGATTACATTCACAAAGTTTGGCGGATTTTTTAATTGTGTGATTTGTCAGTAATTATTCATATTCAAAACGTACTATAAAATAATACTCTTCCAACAAGCAGTTTCTTGAATGTACAAGAATATAATAAGCAATATTGTTCACAAAAAGTATTCATGTGCAAAGACATGAGCTGCAAATACTAGTAGACGTAAAATGAGAAATATTTGTTAAACTGGTGGAAAGTTAACATCCCCCCTTCGTATTACAATTTTGGTATCTGTTGTTCGGATATTCTATGCACTTTAAAAGTTGATGAATGATTCCCAAGATAATTATATTTAGGCATAGAAGACCGCTTCCTGAGGTGCACAAGATAAAGATGGCACTATTTGCGATTTGTCACCATTGGCAATGTTTATTTACTTACACACTGAATACATAAGCTTATGGAGGTATTCTGTACGTATCCAATATTTGATACTCCCTAAAGTGATTCTAACATGTTAGTATATAGAATTTTTTGATAGATATTTTCCAGTGAATTCAATATCCTGATTTTTGCTAATTATTTTCCTACAAAGGATTGTAAATGTGAAAATAAGCGGTGTGGGATACATATTGCAATGATATGTTGAGTTTGCACTTACCTTTGTAAAACATTTTGGAGGTTTCATTACTAATTTGAAAATATGTTTTTCAGAAATGGGTTGAAGAGTTTGCGGCCTTTGTTTGAAATGACATTTTAAGCATTTCCAATTTACAACATGGCATTGTACAATCATAATCTTTTCGTATAAAATTTTTCTTTTAATTGACTGTTCTACCTTAAAAGTAATCAAAACATCAATAAATAATTATGTTATTTACAATGTTATACCATTGCTATTTGTTAAGTATTATTACAAATTAAAGACTCCTTTCCTGCTCCTAAATATAAAGACACTTTTGATGCTTCATAGGGAACGAATTCTCAAAGTTGTTTTTAATTATTTTTGGTTCTTTGGAGAATTAAATAAGCAAATTTTGGAAATAAATTATTTCAGGCAAGGTACTTAATAAATCCTTCATTACTTTTCATTTGCAACGAGTACCATTACATTATGATTCAGTAATAGCAATTGTGAAGTACACGTATAGAAAAGCTTATCTAACTTTACATGATTGTTCCAATTTTTTTTTTTTTTCATTTCGTAAGCTTTATGCATATTTCGAAGGAAAAATAATAATATATTGATTATGTAAGATGGGATCATTTAAATAAATAAATATGACGGAATCGTTATGTAATCGTCAGTGTAAATTTGTGTAACATCTACAGTTTTGTTTGTGAAATTTGATATTGCATGCAGTCGGTAGGCTATTAAACAAAAGCGGAAACTAATGGATTAAAGCGGTTCGATTCTCTATGTGTTATTTCAAGCTTCATTTCTATCTGCTCCAGTAATGCCTTGATTTATTTTTTTTCTGTTTCAGA